AAAGTATTTGAATGTTTTTCTGCACTCGATATATGTGGATGGATATCGAACATTAAGTAAGAAACTTGTATGAAGGGCTTCTCAAATTATGGTATATTTGATTCAGAGTCCATGATGAAATGAGAAAATGTAGATACGATGAGGATAAATATCAAATACTTTATGTGACTACTCTAGCATTAACTGAAATCTTATGCATATTACAGCTTCTATTGCTTCATTTCAGATTCTGAATAGACTTTGACAGGGACCCAAAAAAATTCTCGATTTAATGAGACATGTAGTACAGGGTTAAGTGACATGATTGTGGACTTGAAATTTTAATAATAATCATTTTTCAAGTGAGAATGAGAATGGATTGGCATTTAAAGCTCAGATTGATTTTTTTTTGTTTTGTGAGTTTTGAATGTCAATAGATTTTTGGCTAAGCCAATTGAGATAAAAAATTGGATTTTTGGACTTCTTCCAGTCAGGTTAAGTTCTTTTCTTTCCAATATTGTTTAAAATAAAATATCTATTGAAAGGGTAAACCATGTTGAAATTATATTAATTATATAATAACCAAATATTTCTACCTCATTTAAGATGGTCTTGAAACCTTAGGCAACTCTAAATTTGAAAAAATCAAAACCCCATACAAAATTTAAATTTTTATCTTTTAAATTTTTTTGGACATAACAAGTGCTTCTAATTAGCATAAAAGTGATGAAATATCGAATTTGAATATTGTTTAATCATTTAAAAATGTTTCTGGTCAAAAAACGCCATTGGAAGTGCTCTAATAATTGATTTTAAAAAATCACAGGTTTTTAAATGTTGAAATTTGTGTAAAATATTTTGACAAATGGTAAACTTTGTGCGATTTTCATCGTAGCAAGCAATGACACATTTTGTCAACAATAAATATTATTTATGTATGAAATTTATGTTTTTAGAAGTACAAATGAGAAATAACATGATTAGAACTCCTCAAAGTTAAAAACCAAAAGTTAAAAAAATGCGTCTCGTTCAAAACTGTAGAAAATATTATGAAAAACTTCGAAACCTTCAAAAAAGTTATTAATCTCCCCAAAGCATTCATATGTATATCCTCTTTTTATTTCAATTCAAGATCATTTTTAAAAAACATAATTTTACCAAATTTTTAAGGTATTGTTTAATTTTAACTTTTAATCTATACACTTCACTATCTATCTGTATGAAATTTAAAAACTTGCAAAAGGTTCTTGCTAGTGTTCAAAATCTCACCAAATTTTTCACGAGCAAAAATTTTTGTGAGCAAATTTTTTTAAAAATCTGCCGCTCACGAAAAATTTGGTGAGATTTTGAACACTAGTTCTTGCTTTATGAATATTTTACTGCTTAATAAGCTCAGTCAAAATTAATTAAGTTGAATCTTGTATCTTGCATGCATCTTAAGAAATAAATTAAAAACAGTCAGCTGAGTAGTTCTTATTTGGTTTTAATTTGATTCAGATATCTTTTTTGCCACAAATCGCGAATTAAGTTCCAAAAAATTGTAAACAAAATGTTTGTTTACATTTGAGAATTGAAATTATGTCAAAGTTTGCTATCAAAAAAGTGCACAAATTTCAACATTTTTTCGCACAAATTTTAAAATTTTAAAAAATGTCGAAATTCTCTTCCCATAAGCAGCACATCTTTCATAACATAATGTAAAATGAAAACTCCAACAAATTGTGATCTTTTAAGTTTATAATCAGATTTTCATAATGAGCCATTAAAAAGTTACATGCAAATCAAATCTTCATGTGCAAAAACACACAAATTTCAACATGGTTTACCCTATTTCGACTAATATTAGTTTATCGATGGAAATCAACTTTGCCATACAAAATCAATGAAAATCTCGAGTCGATTTCGAGCTCTGAAGAAAACATTAGAGCCATCAAAAGAAATAATTGTGACATTTGCCAACTAAGCATCATTCTGTACTCTTTACAATAGCACTCAATGTTTAACACTTGAACTGACTTGAACTAGCCAGCTAGTTATGAAAATTCCTATTTCTATACTAAGTTGTGATAGCCAATAACCGCCAATAACCCTCCCAATTTGAATCTCAAACTGCAAACAAGTCTGTATTCCTGCTCTGCTATTCAAGAAATTTAATATTAGAAAAGCTAATTATTTTGAGAAATTCTCAGATATTTAAACATATTCTATACATTTAAGAATCGTTTATTTTAATTAATAAAAAAAATGTTCTCATCTCAATCTCTTATTACACCAACAGCAATATTAATTTAAAGTTAAATTCCGTCTTTAATGGTAAAGAAATAAATATTTTACTGAAATAAGGTGCGACCATTAGACAACTTTTAGTAAAATGTCAACTTAATTAATTGAATTGCCTGCTGAGAATTGCTTGACTTTATTTCTACATTTATAGACTTGAATTCAATAAGATCAATTCTCAGTAGCAATTTAGATATCAATGACTTGCCTACGATTTGCAAGGATAATCAGTTTCTTAAAAGAACTTAATATGAGGATCAAAAATGAATCATTTTAAAATATTTGACTAGCTTACCATCAATGAAGACATTTTGAATCTAAAGAAATGCTGATCAGACTTCCATAACTCCAGAAATTTCCTTTAAGCATCCACATCGTGTGCTTCAACAGTGACTTATTGAATTTCACGATTTTTCATTCTTAATAAATTGCAAATGCTTATCATAGTGCAATCAAGTTCTTCAAGCAGATCAACTATTGCCATCGGCAGCTTCAGAAGCACACAAAGTTCACTCACAAAACTCATGAATCAATTATTCCCGTTGATAAACTTTAATCATTTAATACCGCATCGATTTGAAAAATTTATCGAAATTTCCAATTGATTGCTTCGAGTATTTTTTTTTGTGTGCAATGCTCAAAGATCGAACAATTTGTTTTTATTGTTCCCATCATCAGATAGAATCGTGAACTTTATATGACTTTGCAGTATCACGAATTGCAAGGAATTTTAAAATTCAGGAAAACTAAGTTGAACAGCTGCTAGCTTGTAAGAAATACTCTAACACGAGAAAGACGCATGAGCGAAATTTATTTTGGCGAATTTCACAATTTCAGAAATTTATGAAAATCGCAAAAGTCTCGCAGGTCTAATCTAGATTATAAAAACCGCATGGTTTTATGAATATATTTACTTAAGCTATGAAAATCGCATGATTGACACAAATTTGACTATGTGATATTTAAGATCGCATAATTAACACCGTTTCAGCTCTGAAATATACAAATCTCTCATAAATCACACACTTTGTGCTTTATGGCTTAGATTTAACTATAATTGTGAATATTAAGCACTCCTAGGCTGAAGTAAATTACTCGCATGCGATTCTAAATCTTATATGACTAGAACTTTCGTCATTGTGGTACAAATCATGTTCGAAAAGTATTCACAAATGCTCAAAAAAACATATAAATTGCTTAACTTCCCATATGGATTTATTTTTACGTATTAGAAATAATGGCAATCTTCTATCCAGGAAATCATTATTGCATATCATTTCTGCTTCTTGGTAAAATATAAATTAGTACTTTTGTGTGTGTATGTGGCACGACTAAGTCAGCATGAGAGAGATACGCAATTTAGGTTTAGTAAGAAGCGCAAAAAAAAAATTAGTAACAAATTTCCTGCCTCTCTTCTTCCCAAGAACTAAAAATCTATTTTTAAAAAGAATACCGAGAGAAGATTTTTGTCTTTTTTCACATTTTTTTCTTTAATTCAAAAGATCTTATTTTTTTTTTTGAAATGATTGGCACAGAGAAGAAAAAAATAAGAAATATGAAATGTAAGAAAAAAATTGTTTCATATGAAATGGCAACGCCGAGGAGAAAAGAAATTTCTTTTAAAGAAAAAAAAAGAGTAAATTTCTCTTGAGTTTAACTAGCTATTGTTCCCATACGCCTACAACATGCATATTCCGATATTCTATTATTTCCATCCATTCCCTTTTCCTACACATCCAAATCATAAAGAGCTTGACAACTTCTATAACAGGGGATCATTCATTAATGACGTCAATAAAAAAAATTATATTTTTAAGCCCTTCCCTCCAATACCATCAACTATAAACGATGTGTCTTCATTGATGAAAGAACCTTTTGTACCTGTGAAATGAAGTAAGAAACGATGAAGCTCTTAAAATTTTAAGAGCCCACCCTTTTAGTATCTTAAAATCAAACATCATTTATTAACAGTCCTTCATAATGTTATTATGGTTTTTACTGTCGCTGCTGTTTGCAGCTCAAATGACGTAAAACGTCTCCTTTTCATTACATTTACATACGTAATAGACTCTCCATAATCTTCATACAACTTTTTCTTACATTGTTTGCATATTTTTTTGCAATAGAAATAGTTTTTCCATTTGTAATCCTTTTAAGTTCATGTTACCATGCTTCTTTTCGATACTGACGTGTGTATTTTCCAGAAATTGTGGGAAATTTCCATTATTAACGTTATTTTCATTATGTCTTGTGACAATTTCATCAGATAATATTTTTGAATAATTCATTAATTCTTATAGCTAGTTTATAACTATTAGGCATCATAATATTGAATATAAATTAACGAAATGCGTAATTTTTCTACAAAAACAACTCGCATACATTGAAAGGCTCAAAATATTTTTGAAGGCGCGTAGCATGAAGCGCGACATCATCATCTACAAACGTATGTGTACGTATACATTATATATATATATATATATATATATACCAAAAAAAAATTATATTTTATTACATTACGTTCTGCCGTTCTTCTCATTAAGTTTTTAGTATGTTTTTTTTTTCGGAATTCTTTACTTTTTCTTCAGTCAAAAAAATATGTAAAATAAGAGACTGGAAGCAAAGGGACAACGAAGCAGCAAAAATTAAAAGAAGGGATGTAAAAAGAGAGAAGAATAAAAAACACAAGAAATTGGAGGACAAGATGAAGTAATAAGAAAGAATTCTTGATGAATATTCACCTGTTTCTCGTTTTCTCTTTTTATTTTGTTCTTGTTGCCTTTGCTGATGCTTTATTTGAAAATCATTAGCATTCTTTTTGTATTTTGTTGTTTGATCTCCGGAGCTATTCCTATTTCCATATGTTACAGTTGCCGAAGATGAATTGGACGTTGTTGAATGTTGCTGATGACGATACGATTTATTATTTGAAATATTATTAGAGTTCTCACAACCCAATAATGGGTGACACAAGTCGTAATTTTCGGAAAAATGCGAAGTTTTCATTTGCGTTTTCCTATCCCGTGAATGCGAAATATTGTGCTGGTGTGAGCTAAAATATTTTTTTTTAAAAAAATTCTTTCTTTTTTTCTATCACAATGAACTCTATTTTAATAATTATTTCGTGAATATTTTTTTTCTTTTCTTTCTTTTTTCTCTATTTTTGTTGTTTTCGTGGTGTTCTAGTTAATATTTTTTTCCACCATATTATATTAGGTATTATTTATTTATTATTATATACTGACTGATTGACGAACAAATTTCTTTTCATCTACAACGTTCGTATTTTTTTTATAATTTTTCTTTCCTTCTGTTGCTTTTTTTTAAGAGTTCGATTATGCAAAATTATAGGCTTAGTTCTAACTTAGTATAAAGCAAATTAATTACGTTCAACAGAAAAGAACTTAATTTTGAACTTAAAAATTTCTTAAACTATTAAAACTATTTACAAAAGACTCGAACTCAATAAAATCTTAAACTCAAATATGTGTATTATTCGGATTCCATTTTTTTTATGTTGTTGTGTTGGTTTTCTTTACTCGTTTCCACTTTTTTTAACACTTTTTTTTCGAATTTTCCAACTTTTAACGGCACAGTTACAACAATTTTGTTATTTTCACGATCACACGCGTTCATTTAAACCTTTTTATGATATTTAATTAAGGAAAATTCCTATAATATATCTACAAAAGCCGTTTTAATTTCAATCCATTTTATATGCTTCTGATCTCTTCGAGCTGACGATGAAAACTGGAAAGTTTTACTGAAGTTACTGAATAGAAATTTTTTTTTCGAACAATAGTTTTCGAAAATTGTTGTTTTTGTTTAATTTATTGCGTTTTACCTTGAAATTTTGTCTGTTCCACAATGTTTAGTGGCTTTATATTTACAACAACTTAATTAAAAGTTGTTTTATGCAGTAATGGTAGGTAAATTAATTGAAATAAAGTAAAACAATTTGCAGCACAAATTTCCCGCGATGCTTGAATTTGTTAACCTATTTGAACATAACATTGAGTGCTGAATAGTCGGAAAGTTTCCACGAAAAAATTACAAATCTATTTTTATCAAGTTTTTGAGAAAACTACGGAATTTAATTAAATTATTTAACATTTATCTTATTTTGTGCAATAAAAGCAATAGTTTCAATTATCAGGAATAATTCAGAAATATCAATTTAAAAATCAATTCAAAAGTTTTCAAGAACATCACAGACGGTAAGCAATAAAAACAAGAAAGGAGGAGAAAATTAAGGAAAAAGAATATAATAAGAAAAATTGTATAAAAACATTAATGAGAGTTTCCAAAAACATTCATTAAGTTGTACTTAATAATAATATTACAAAATCAGTAAGAATTTCGTTCGAAATTTCAAAGTTTTTGTTATGTTTTTGCTCAATGTATAAAAAATCAATAAATTGATAAAACAAGAGTAGAAAAAAAAATTAAATCAAAAAATGAATCAAAATGAATATGAAATCCGCGAGTCCCAGCGATTACGGGAGCTCGAAGAATATAAAGGACGTGCAGCTCAAATGGAAAAGACTATGAAATGGTATTATCATGAACTTTATTGTTGATGATTTGATCTTAAACATATCTTTGTTTCTCCTTTTAAGGTGGAGCGATTGTACGAACAATTGGTAAGAAGATTTAATATTACACAATAAAATATTTAATATCCAATAAAGATGAACAGAACAATAACAATAATGAAAATTTGTTTTAAGGCGTGAAAAGTGGGCAAAAGTCAGAAACGAGCGGAATCAAGCGCGAGATGAGATAAAGCAATTGCGAGTGGCACTTGAATCAAGCATGAAGGAATCAAATGGATATAAAAGAGAAAAGCATGAACTCGAAATTCAAGTACAACAATTGAAAAAAGAAATGGAAAAGATTCATCACAGTTTAATGAAGCATGCATCAACGCATAAAGAACCTGAGCGTGAAATTAGCGGTAGCCCTGATCAATTCTCAAATGATGGCTTAAAGAATGTCAATTCTGAAGATGGTCTTGTGACAAAAGCTCGTTCATTGAGTGAAAATGAGAGCAATTCAGAAAGTAAAATTGCTGACGAGTTTCAACAAGGACCAAGTGGAAAGGACAGTAAGAATGTATCAATGGAACTAAATGATAAGCAATTCCAAAAGCTTAAATTATCAAAAAGCGAAGATACTGAAGATGATTCCGAATACCTGATTCAAAAAGCTAAAATGTTACAATTGAGATTAGAAGATGCACAAAAAGCAATAATTTCTGAAAAGGAAGAAAAGATGCAATTGCTTAAGAGCATGGACAAAATAAGACATGATCTTGAAGAATGCAGAAGTAAATGCGAAGAAGTTCGCTCAGCAAGACAAGAAGCGGTAAGAGAATTGCTGACTATGCAAGAGACTCACAGAGCTGAGCTCCGTATTATTACAAATTCATTGCAAGAAGAAACAAACTCAAGAGAATCACTTGAAAGACGATTAAGTGAACTACGTGGGGAATTGGAAAGATTGCAATCTGAGAATGCGTCATTCTGGTCGCGCTCTGAACGACTTGAAACTGAAAAGATCAATCTCGAAAGAGAAAATAAGAAGATGAAAACAGAACTTATGGATTCGCAAGTATCTGGCAGATCACCAATGTGGAATGTCGCCAACGGATCACGCAATGAGGAAATACGTCTATTGCAGCAAGAACTAATTGACAAAAACAAGGTGAAAATTAATTTATACAAAATCGTGTAGGAAAAAGATTAAAATTATAATTATTTCTTGTAGGAAATCCAAGAACTTCGCCATTCGCAAAGCAAAATGAAAAAGATGTTGTCAGAAGCAAACATTGAAATGGGCCATGCTGTTCGTAGAGCTGAACAATATGAGACTGAAGTAAAACGTCTACGTACAAGAATTGAAGAATTAAAGAAAGAATTAACAATGGCCGAAGATGAACTCGATGCAGCGTCATCAGCAATAAGAAGATTACAGCGAAACAACGAAGAATTAAATGCAAGGTAAGAAAGAAACTTGATGCAAAATTTTTATATTTTTATTAGTATTACTAACACAACTACTAACTTATACTTATTTATATTGTATTTTTTTTTAATTTACTGGACGCTGCTTTTTCACATTATAATTTTTAATTAACCACATTCATCATTGCTTGCCAAATAATATACTCACATAATAATTATTTCTTCATCATTTATTTTGTAAAAAAACTAACATGTACATAAAATTGGTGTCACTAATATGCCTTTCGTGCTTGCATTTTATATTGTTAACATATTAAAAACACAATTAGACACTCTAGTCCAAAACATTATTCGTCACGTGGCACAAATTCACCAAAAGTCCAAGAATATCGTCCAAATATAAATGATTTAAAGCAATTCTTTGATGACACAAAACGTTCTGGTCATTCTAAAAAGCAATCTAGTTATTCCGATGCCAAACCCACTTACATGATTCAAGATGAAATCTACTTTGAAGGCAAACGAAGTTCAGAATTCGAAAGAGTCAAACAAAAATTTGATAGGAGTCAATCGACTAAAATTGCTAGTTTCTCGTCCAACTCAAAAAATAATTTCCAATCAAAAAGCTTCGAAGCTCGTAATGATATTCATCATAAACGTTTAATTGATGACTATGGCATGAACAGCAACATGAATATTAGTGATAATATTGCTCAACATTATAATTGTGAACCTTCTTCCTCGTCCTCCAAAAAGCATTCTTCTTTTCATGCACAGTCGTCTCATGAGAAACAAGATAATACAGTTGATTTAGCGGCTAGTTTCAATTTAGATGGATTTAAAGTGTCAGAAGATGATGATGACGATGATGTAAGTTGTGCATTACTAACTTAATTTTTTTAAAATAATTTTGCATGCTTTTTACTTAATAATTTGAAATGCTACTAAAAAATTGTTAAAAACTATGTGCACATGCACTGAAATGATTAATTATCCACTTACTTCTTACTTTTAGACTCCATAAATATGAACCTGAGTTGAACGATTTGTCAGCCATGCCACAAACAATATTATAAAAAAAAACTTAAAAACATATTTTTTCACTTTTTACATTTTAAATTATAAAAGTTTCTACATAATCAACGAGTATTTATATATATCATAGATTGATTATCTGTCCATTTAATGTTGATCTCAAAAAATACTGTTTATGTGTAGAAATGATAATAATTCTATGTATTGAACAAGAAAGCATTATTATGTATTGAAAATAAAAATTTTAACGATATCAGAATAAAGCTGCCTTTTCTTTTCTCAATTATTATCATATTTACTAATTCTAGCAAAGCAATGTTACTGAACTAGGTTTTTAACTGTCAGACAATACCTCATACTCACTTAAAAGTGTGGCTCACCAGAAACTCTAATCTTTTTTTGATTTTGAATCGAACACGCACACTTGTACAATTACAGATCATATCCACTTGTCACTCTTGCTGGCTACTTGGAAGCTTAGCAGATTGTTAACGGAAACTATTAGTCAGATCTTAACAGTATCTTTGGTATAATACTTGATGTTGCTTAACTTGAGAATCTTTAACATCTGAACTTGCTGAAATGTCTGTAATCAATCGAATTAAAATCAGTTTTTTTTGTATGAAATTTTATTTCATCTTGCAATATTCTTGAGAAAAACTTATGAAAAACTTAATGGCTTTAATTTAACATTTATCATCAATAAACTTTTCGAGCTTCTTTCTCATATTTACAATTTCCTTCTAGAAAATCCTTAACTGCTACATTTTTTTTTGTATTTTTTCATGCTCTTAACTTACTGTCCTTAAAGTTTTTTTGTGTTTTTTCAATGCACCTACTCTACTTCTTTAGGATTTTCTTTCTTATTCCTATCCTTTTTTTCCTATAATAAATGATTTTTTTTTCTTTATTTTTTCAAAGTTTTTCTTACTTTCTTGCAATGATAATAGTAACTTTAAAACTAATTCATTTTATACTAGCATTTGGGGCTGTTCTGTTTTGGCCTACATATTCGCGATCGTCCTTCTGAGCCATATACTATATTACAACTAAATTTGAATTGACCACATGTGCTTGATTTTGTGAAATATGTTGATGTGACTTTTCCATTCTCCTTATCATTCTCATTGACACTACCCGAAAGTGATTTGGTTACTGAAACAAATGTTTCTGGTTTTACCTTGTCGTTACTCTTTTCTACTGTCTTGGATGGAAGATATCTAGTTTTATATTTAATTTTTTGTGTAGTTTTTGAAATCGTTATGTCTTCATGTGGATTTGAGTCAATTTGTTCGAAACTGTCAGCTTGTGGATCTTCCCTTAATTCTTCTTTTTTCAAGTCTGCCTTTTTCTGATCTTTTGCTGGCGGATACGTAAATGTCTTTCCATTTTGTGTTTGAACTAGTCGAACAGGATTCTTATCTGGATTAACTATGACTGCCTTTTGCTGTTGTGAACCTGATGTCTGTGTGAATATTTTGAGTGTCGTTTCTTCGTTGTTCTTTCCGGGAATTGTTGTTACGACAACTTGTGGTATTTCTGTAGTTGTGGTAATCTTGAAAGATTTTGGTGCAAGATTAGCGTCGGTTTGTGTGTAGTAGTCATCCTCTTCCTCTTCTTCTACAAATTTAAATCACTAATTATCTAGTATTTCGCTTTATCTATAGTACTTACCATCTTCATCACCTTCATCATATTCTTCCTCTTCCTCTGGCTTTTTATCATCAACTTTCGATGACGAAATCAATGTGGGATTAGCTGATGTCACTGTTGATTAAAATTTGTCAGAAAATCTAGCACAAAAAATTATTAATTAATGAATTCATACCCGTAACCTGTTTTGAAGTCTTCGACCTTAGTTTATCCTCTTCTGTGTGTGTAATTTCAACTTTCCTGATATCAAAAAATTAATCAATTCTATGTCTTAACACTATTAGACTATCAACTTACTTATTATTCTTTCCAAAAAGCTCAATATTACGGAACATCGATATACTCTTATCTCTAATTTCTTTAACTTGTTCTTTTGTCCCTGAGGCTGCTTGTGCGGCTCCATGAAATGAAATGCCAAACCTAAAACGTTACATTGTTATCCACATATTGATTTAATGAAATTTATATCATAATACTTTAATTTGCCGCTAATTTGTGACTGTGACTGTCCTGTGTGTGTACCAGACTGTGCAGAAGCGGTCCCACCACCATTAAATACATTATAAACAGCTTCATTACTGTCTTCCTCTTGAGGTCTAAATCCAATTTGTGCTTGTGAGCTTGTTTGACCTGGACCACTGGCTTGTGCATCTGCTAAGCCTCCTTTCTCATTTGCAACAACTTCAGATTGACTTTCATGCTTTGAACCACCTGATTGTGCAGTTGCAGATGTTCCTCCTGTTTTGGCGTCAACAGCAATCTGAGATTGTGATTTAGCTGCTCCACCTTGACCTTGAGCAGATGTCATTGCACCTTCTTTACCACCAGATATCTAAAATAAATGTTTATACCTCAAAGAATTTTTTTTTTTAAATTGTTTTATTAATCAATACCTGAGCTTGAGCTGATCTATCACTATCGGACGTTTGAGCTGTTGCTGAAAACGATCCTTTTCCTGTGTATGTTCCTGAGACTTGAGTTTGGGCTGCTCCTCCATTTTTCTTACCTTGTGCACTGGCACTGACTTCGCCTCCTTTTATTGAGGTTTCTGTAAAATATATTTTGGTTATTGTTCTGTCCACATTTTGCATTTTATTTTATTCTCATAATTTACCTGCTTGTGAAAAAGCATCATCTTCTTCATCTAATTTCTCAAGATTTTCTGGTGGTAATTCATCTGTTGTTGATTCAGGTTCATAGATACTACTTCCAATATCCTTATCATGAATAGGAACTCCAGGAAGCTGATCACTGCCTAAAAATTATTTGTAAGAAAATTATGAATATATTTTAATCGATCAAATTAAGTAAAATACCAGGTTTGTATCCATCCTGAGTTCCAGGTCTGTATCCGTCTTGAGTCCCCGGTCTGTAACCATCTTGTCCAGGTTTATATCCATCCTGAGTACCAGGTCTATAACCATCTTGTCCAGGTTTATATCCATCCTGAGTACCAGGTCTGTATCCATCTTGAGTCCCCGGTCTGTAACCATCTTGTCCAGGTTTATATCCATCCTGAGTACCAGGTCTGTATCCATCTTGAGTCCCCGGTCTGTAACCATCTTGTCCAGGTTTATATCCATCCTGAGTACCAGGTCTATATCCATCTTGAGTACCAGGTCTGTAGTCATTTTGATTACCAGGTCTGTATCCATCTTGTCCTGGTCGGTTACCATCTTGAGTTCCAGGTTTATATCCATCTTGTCCAGGCCTGAATCCATCTTGAGTACCAGGTCTGTATCCATCTTGTCCAGGTCTATAGCCATCTTGGGTACCAGGTCTGTATCCATCTTCAATACCAGGTCTGTAACCATCTTGTCCAGGTTTATATCCATCTTGAGTACCGGGTCTGTATCCATCTTTTCCAGGTCTGTAGCCATCTTGGGTACCAGGTCTGTATCCATCTTCAATACCAGGTCTGTAACCATCTTGTCCAGGTTTATATCCATCTTGAGTACCAGGTCTGTATCCATCTTGAGTACTAGGTCTGTATCCATCTTGTGTTCCAGGTCTGTAACTATCTTGTCCAGGTCTGTATCCATCTTGAGTACCAGGTCTGTGTCCATCTTGAGTACCAGGTCTGTATCCATCTTGAATACCAGGTCTGTAACCATCTTGTCCAGGTTTATATCCATCTTGAGTACCAGGTCTGTATCCATCTTGAGTACCAGGTCTGTATCCATCTTGTGTTCCAGGTCTGTAACTATCTTGTCCAGGTCTATATCCATCTTGAGTACTAGGTCTGTATCCATCTTGTCCAGGTCTGTAGCCATCTTGGGTACCAGGTCTGTATCCATCTTGAATACCAGGTCTGTAACCATCTTGTCCAGGTTTATATCCATCTTGAGAACCAGGTCTGTATCCATTTTGAGTACCAGGTCTGTATCCATTTTGTCCAGGTCTGTAGCCATCTTGGGTACCAGGTCTGTATCCATCTTCAATACCAGGTCTGTAACCATCTTGTCCAGGTTTAAATGCATCTTGAGTACTAGGTCTGTATCCATCTTGTGATCCAGGTCTGTAAAAATCTTGTCCAGGTCTGTATCCATCTTGAGTACCAGGTCTGTATCCATCTTCAATACCAGGTCTGTAACCATCTTGTCCAGGTTTATATCGATCTTGAGTATCAGGTCTGTATCCATCTTGAGTACCAGGTCTGTATCCATCTTGAATACCAGGTCTGTATCCATCTTGTGTTCCAGGTCTGTAACTATCTTGTCCAGGTCTGTATCCATCTTGAGTACCAGGTCTGTATCCATCTTGAGTACTAGGTCTGTAGCCATCTTGAGTACCAGGTCTGTATCTATCTTGAGTACCAGGTCTGTATCCATCTTGTCCTGGTTTATATCCCTCCTGAGTGCCAGGTCTGTAGCCATCTTGTCCAGGTCTGTAAATATTAGATGGCCCTCCTGGTCTCAATTCTCCATCTATATTTGAAACCATAATTAAACAAAAGAATCACGACTTAAGTAATCGTTAAACGCCTGTTGGAAGTGCGTCGGGCCAACTTCGAATTTCGAGCTGAAACTTTGCCAGTTTAAAGACCCTTTTGCGACACTTTTCGACATCTAATTACTTTTTTTCGACACCCCTTAGTTTTTGAGATATCGGAGTTTCAATTTTAGGCAAAAAGCCCGACTAACTTCACGTTTCTAGTCGGGCCAATTTCTGAAAAATAATTTTATTAAACATGTTATATATCAAAATTGAAGTTCTTTTTACGACACTTTTCGACACGCAAACCGTTTTTAAATCTGATCATTTCTTGCTGAGGTATGGGCTATCAAAGTTTTGCCTTCTGTTTTCATCGACCAAAAAAATCAAACTTTACTAAAATTGTCAATTTGTTACAAATCTTTTATCAAAATGCATCTCCTTTTCATGACGTATCCAAATACTCGAAAATATTTTCAATTCAGTTATTATCGGTCGACTTATAGCATGTCAAGTGACCAGTCATGGATTCGATCTCAAAGGATTTTTTTTTCAAATTTTCTCAAAAAACTTTTATTTTATCTTTATTTTGAACTTTTTGGATTAAACTCTTTTATTAAATCAAAAAAAAAAGATTTAAAGATTCTTGACA